TTTCCTTCCTTCCTTTGCTTTATGAGAAGTATTCTCTTTGTTTTACTGGAATGTAGTGTACACGTGTGGAAAATCTCACAGCTCCTGTGTGTAGTTGGAGGGAGGTGAGTGCCCTGTGTCACCACTGCCTAGGTTCTGAGCATGCTCTGTTCCTAACAGTTCTTTCACACCTGCCGTTTCCACCTCTCCTCCGCCTTCTAGCGCTTGGGGTCGTTGTGGTCGTCGTGAGGTATGATGCTACTCACAACAGGCTTGAATACATTTCTGGGGCATGTATGAACGCTTTTGTAGAAGGGGCTTCACCACGTTGTGAGGAGGACAGTGCTGTCCCGCGGAGGAATCAGCCCGAGAGTCCAGGGCGTTCACCCATCCGAACGTTACTGCTCCCTTTAGGGACAGCGATGCGGCAGACCTGGGCCGGCGCAGCGTGGAGTTACGAGGAGTGAGGATGGGCACACATTCAGAAGTTGGGGGTGCTGGGAATGGCCAGCATTAAGGAATCAACCAATAACAAATGCTGGCGAGGCTGAGGAGAAATAGGAACCCTTCTCCACTGCTGGTGGGAATGCAGACTGGTGAAACCACTATGGAAATCAGTTTGGAGATTCCTCCGAAAACTAGGTTTAGAGGTCCCATTCAACCCAGCTATCCCCCTGCTGGGTATTTTCCCAGAAGATCTAAAAACATCATATCACAGTGATATATGTGCACGTATGTTCATAGCAGCACAATTTGTAATTGCTAAAATGTGGAAGCAACCCAAATGTCCATCCACCGAGGATTGGTTAAGAAAATTGTGGTACTTTTATATAATGGAATATTACTCAGCTATAAAGAAAGATAAACTTGAGGCCTTTATATTTAAATGGTCACAACTAGAGACCATACTCATAAGTGAAATAAATCAAACACACATGTGCAAGCACTGCATTGTTTCACTAGTGTAAATCTTGAAAGAGTTAATTCGAACTCAGAGGTATGATAGACACTGTGAAATGATAGGAAACCGCTGAAGAGTAAAGGGCTTCTGGGATGTGGGAAAAGAGAAGGGAAAGAAGGAGAAATTTTGTATGTATGTATATACATGATAGTTAACATGGTTGTTCTTCTGTCTTCTATTTCTATGCTGAAAGAAACTGTCAATGAGTCTTTGGTTGACCAGTATTGTATGTCTATATCTGTTTTCATGAGAAACCACTTTGAAGATATCAATATGCAATACAACCACCATTATTAATTCCCTACCACTTTGTTTGTAACTCTGTATTGTCTGTATTGTGCTTGTGATATGTTGTAAAATCTTGTATGTCTGTTAATGTTTCCCTTCTTTTATCTTTAAAATTAAAAAAAAAAAAGAAGTTGGGGGTGCTGGAAAAGAGCCCGGGCTGGGGAGGTTCAGTGGCCAGGGAGGTAGAGTATGGTTATAAGTGGTCACATGACCTGGTCATAGTTGACAGAACTCACTGGTATCAGAGGTGCTTGGAGGATGAACTTCGAAGCAGCAAGGAGAGCAGGGTGGTTGGGGCTGTAATTCAGAGTCTCCTGAATACCAGAACCAAAGATATTGGTGGATTTCAGGACCCTAGTGACTGTAACAAATGTCTTTAAAGTGTTGCTATAGAGGGCGTGGCAGAATCTTATAATGATGACAATGTAAGTGTCAAGTTGGACTCAAGAAGAGTTTAAATCTTGGCTGGCAGAACGGGAAGGACCCTGGCACTGCAGGAGGTTGGGCTGCCAGAAGGGCCTCTGTGGGAGAAGCTGAAGTCTGGAGATCTTACGTTTGAGGTACTGTGTGACACTAATTATGCAGTACACAGTGGATGAGGCAGGTGTGACATCAGGGCACTGCCATATGCCCAGGACATCTGTCAGTGGATTTGCTTCTGGCTGCAAATAATGGAAAACCCACCTCAAAATGACTATTGGAACAAGGACATTTCTTATCTCTATGTTGTAACATTGGAGATAGGGCACCTCCAGAACTGATTTCTTCCCTGGGTGAGCAGTGACTCTTGGCATTTTCCACTTTACCATTTGTGTAGTCTGTTAAGGCTGCTGGAGTAAAGTCCCACAGACCCAGTGGCTTAAATAATGGAAATTATTATTACTGTTATTATTGCATCTGGGTGCTGGAAGTCTGAGATCAAAGTGTCTGCAGCGTTGGCTTCTTGAGCTTTATTTTTTTTATTTTTTTATTTTTGGTTTTTCTCCGGTACCGGGAACCGAACTCACGACCTTGCGCTTGCCAGGCAGGTGCTTTTGCCGCTGAGCTAAATCCCCAGCCCTTCTTGAGCTTTAAAAAGCTGTCTTCTCCCTGTGTTCTCACATGGTTGTCCCTCAGTGCTCATCTGTGTCCTGCTCTCTTCTTATAAGGACCCTGGTGATGTTGGGTGAGAGGCCCCCCTACAACCCCATTGTAACTTACTCGTCTCTTTAACTCTCTGTAAAAACATAATTACGTTTTGAGGTACTGGGGCGTAGGGGTTTGACGTAGGAATGTCGGGGTGGCTTAGTGCAGAATGGCCTCCTTCATGGCTGTGTGATACCCAGTGTGACCAGGCATGAATTCTTAAGTCTCACGGCCAGGATCATCTCACAGTGCCATGCCTGTGGCAGCTGGCCATCAGCAGGGAGGATGGGACCACAGTGAGTCTGATTCCCAGCTACGTGGAGAAGGGGGTGGCGGCTGTTGGGGAGGTTAATGCTAAGTGTGCAGCGGAAGGTAACTCACACCTTGGAGGGAGAGCGTGTGGAAAGAAAGAACAGAAGGCGAAGCATGGAAGAAAACCAGTATTAAAAGACCAGGAGGAGGAAGAGGAGCCCACAGCGGAGGCCAGGGTGGAGTCGTGGGAGAGGCCAGCGTGGAACTGGGAGTGCAGAGGGAGGGGGTTGGGAGGTCAGCCTTCTGTAGAAGGGGCTTCACCACGTTGTGAGGAGGACAGTGCTGTCCTGCAGAGGAGTCAGCCCGAGAGTCCAGGGCGTTCACCCATCCGAAGGTTACTGCTCCCTTTAGGGACAGCGATGCGGCAGACCTGGGCCGGCGCAGCGTGGAGTTATGAGGAGCGAGGATGGGCACACACTGAGAAGTTGGTGGCCCTGGGAAAGAGCCCGGACTGGGGAGGTCCAGTGGCCGGGGAGGTAGAGATGAGGATGAGCTTATTCTGACTTCGGTGTGGCTGGGTACTTAGTCTTGTGTGGGGGAGGGGACAGCATGCATGTGGTGCATGGGAAGACTTAGTAGCCTGACAGGAGTGTGCACATACATGCCCCTAATCTGGTGTAGTCTGCCGTTCACAGATGCCCTTAATTTGCGGAGGAGGTGGGTGAGGGCCCAGGTGGGCTACGAGTGCCTGTGTGATGGTCACCGTGCGCTGCGCTGCAGGAGTGCTTAGGCCTGATAGGACAGCTGCACACAGGGCTGGGCCCGATGCTGCCAGAAGACAGGGAGGCCGTGGAGCAGGGCTGATAAGGGCACCGCACCCCCTTCTTGGTGACACTGTTTGCTTCTGAAGCTGTGACAGCTCAGGACTCTGGTTCTGAACTTCACCGTGTTGTGGATAATGTGAAGGGAGACGCTGAGGAGGGAGCCATTAGTGAGGTTGCCTTTCCTGATCTAAGAGCAGGAAGGAGTTTTTAAAGGGATCTGGCAAAGTCCCTCTACCTGCTCTTGCCTGTAAGGAGCTGCTTGGAGATGGCTCTCCTGCTCCCTCTAGAGGTGAAGTGGATTTGGGGAACCGGAATCTGCAAAGCAGGAATTTGTCTTCAGACTCAGAATTCTAAGACAAAGGAGCTTCTTGTCTAGGGACCACAGATATCTGTAGGTACCAGGAGAACAAAATAAATTAATTAGACCAGTTGGGGCATTGAAATTTGATTCTGGGAGGCTGAGGTAGGGGGATTGAAAGTGTAAGCCTAGCCTGGGCAAATCAGCAACACAGCCAGACCCTGTCACAGAATTTGTTAAAAATTTAAAAATAAGCCAAGTGTGGTGGCACATACCTGTAATCCTAGCTCTCAGGAGGCTGAAGCCGAAGAATTGCGCGAGTTCCAGGCCGGCCTGGACTACATAGTGAGACACTGTCTCAAACAAACAAAAAACCCTAAAAACAAAAAAGCTGTGGTTGAAGCTCAGTGCAAAGTCCCAATGCTTGCATTCTGTCTCTCTCTGTTCTTCTCTCTCTCTCCCTCTCTCCCCCCCCCGCTCTCTCTCTCTCTCTCTCTCTCTCTCTCACACACACACACACACACACACACACACACACACACACACACGATTCCAGAGAACACTCTGGTTGTATGTTAAACAGATAAGAATTGTTTTCAACTGTGTAAGTGAATTTTTTCTTTTCTAGTTTTCTTGAAACTTGCATCCCTCTCACTCCTTTTAGTTTTTCTTTCTTTTTCTATGTTTGGCGGAGAGATAAGGTCTCTATCAAGGGGATTTTTCTGTTTAGAAAAATTCAGAGTCCAGCATGGTGGTCCCAAGTGATAACTCGCATTTTTCCCAGTTCCAGGAGAAGAGGGAAGCAGGGCCTGGGGCAGCCTGAAGGTGACATTCCCTGACAAAGTCACTGCCACCCCAAAGTCCCCGCTGGTGCCAGGTATTACCAGGCCTCCTAATTTATGAAGGATCCCTCAGCTCTGAAACTGATGACTCATTTGTATGTCTACAAAAATTTGTATTGTGCAGAAATTTCCATGCTGCTCAGACAACTACTGTAGCATGTTTGCATGCTGGGCAGGAGCAGTGCGCCTGCAGCTAGAGCCACCCCCAATGTTCCTGACTCCTGAGGTCAGAGACAGAGAGGGGCTTGCTTGAGACCACTAGTGCTGATTTGATAGATAATATGAAGTATTTCATGGCTTCCTTATTGTTTTGTGTTTAAAGGTATTTGAGGTACTTTTTGGTCTTGTTCATTTTGTAAGGATTCTGAAGACCTTTCCAGAGCTATGAAGCGTCTGTGTTTACGTTTATCTCCTTATCCTTTCTCTTCCAGCACTGGCCCGTGTTTGTGGAGGTTAAGGACCTTTTGACGTTGGTTCCACCTCTAGTGGGCCTGAAGGGGAACCTGGAAATGACGCTGGCGTCACGGCTCTCCACAGCTGTAAGTTGACGGCAGGCATTTCAGGCCACCTGCAGTGGGGGACGACATAGTTCCCACCTGTCAATCTTCAATGGCTCATAGATTGACGGGCTGGAGTCGTCAAGAAGACACGTGTTTGTTACCTCGTGGAGCTATTCCTGGTCACCCACCTCTGTCTGTCACCCTGTTTTTTCCATGATCAAGTTGGACTGTGGTTGAGGGACCAGGCCAGTGCCTGGGGACCTTTGATTTCTTCCTTAAGCCCAGTGTTGCTTGCTTAGTTGTGGCCCTGTGGCCCCAGGTCTGCATGCTGCCTGCTCCTCTGCACCCTCTGCGTCCTGGGCCCGGCTCCCCCATGTGTTCATACAAGAGCCTCCATGAGCAATGCGCTTCTAAGGGAGCATTTTGTAGAGAAGATGAGAAGGGTCTAAACTGCCCAAGTTGCTGACCTCCCTTAGCAGACTGTTGTCCAGCTGGCTCCCTTGTTACTGTTGGACTGGAGGCATCTCCCTCTGGCCTGTGTAGTCAGCATGGTTCCTAGCCTTGCCAGTTCCTCTCGTCCCTTCCCAGTTCTCCCCAGGGACTGGAATTCTTTTCCTCTTCTTAGGCAGAATGGTTTTTCCTTTTTTCTGGTGCCCATGTGATGTCCTGTGTGTGCAAAAAGACTATGGCCAGGGGAGGCGTATTGTGTTCGGGCGCTCGGAGGGGAACCTGGTAGCTGAGGTACAGATTGCTGAGGAAGAGGTCTTGCTGGGTGTGAGGCTGGGGAGTAGGATGTGGACAGCTGCACAGTGGCCCCCAGGGATAGCCAGGCCCCCATCCCTGGACATTGAGGAGTCTCTGTGGGAAAAAGATCTTTGTAAATGTGATTAAATTAAGGACCTTGAGATGAACCCACTATAATCATAGGAGCCCATACCAAGGGGAGGCAGAGGGACATTTTAGGCAGAAAAGGAAAAGGTGGCATGATAGAAACAGAATCAGAAAAAGTGCTATGCCTCTCACTGGCTTTAGTGAAGGAGAAGCCACAAACCAAGAGACACAGCTCTTTGTGTTGCAAAAAGCCAGAAAATAGATTCTACCCTAGAGCTTCCAGGGATGGTAAGGTTTGGGCCCTGTAAGACTCATTCCAGACCCCTCACCAGCAGAACTATGAGAGGAGGGATTTTGCTTGCTTTAAGCAGGTTTGTTAAAACAGCAAGAGGAAATCAATACATAGGGTCAGATCATATTAGAACCCTGTAAATCATTGCACCATTTTAAGCATCTGGTACTGTGATTTAGACACACATATCCACACAGATGAGCACACATACATGTACACATACATACGTACATGTGTGTATGATTTTGGGGGGCCATGTTGAGGATGAGAAATGTTTTGATAGTAATCTCTGCCATGGAGATTTCACGAGCTACATTTTTATTTCCTAATGTTTAAGTGCATTTTATATAATGACTATATCTTAGTGTCACAATCCTTTTAAAATATATGAAGTATGGAAAAAAAATCTGTTAATATAATTCATTATAATAGTCTAAGGAGAACAGACACATCACAGTAGAAGCTTCAGAAACCATTCAGTACTTTATCATTTTTAAAATCACTATATGAAGATATAAATTAATGCAGTGAAAACCCACAAATTCTAACAGATAACTGTATGTGTATAACTATGATCTGAGTGGAGATATAAAACATTTCTTTCTCCCCAGAAAATTCTCATTTCCTTCTGAAGTCTAGTCTTCCCATCCGTGCGTCCTGGCCACTTGATTTGACCTTCACTCTACAGATTTGTCTTCAACACTCATTCATGATTTAAAAAGAACTCTTACTGTGAATTTGAGCTCAGTCTGGAATACATAGTGAATTTTGTAAATTCTCGTTAGTGAGATGTCCAGTGTTTTCTGAATCTTTGTTGGTATGTGGTATCATTACTTTTTTATTTTATGTGTTTTAATGCATAGTGATATGTGATCTTGGTCTCAATTTGCATTTCCCTAGGAAATGTGATGTTGACGGTCTCTTCATGTGCTTATTGGCCAGCCATTCACATGTCATCCTCAGTAAAGTGTCCGTTTATGTGTTTTCTCATTTCAGATTTTTTTTTTCTTTTTTTTTGATTTGCGATACTAGAGATTGAATCCAGGGCATTCACACTAAGCTACATCCCCAGGTCTCTCTCTCATTTTAAAATTTTGAGACAGGGTCCCACTAAGTTGCTGAGTTACCCAGGCTGGGCTCATCTTACAGTCCTCCTACCTCAGCTTCCCAGAGTGTTGGGATTATAGGTGTGCACCACCACACCTGGCTTGGGTTGGAGTTTTCTTTCTTGAGTTTTCTTTATCAGGTATCTGGTTTGAAAAAATTTTCTTCCAATCTATAGCTTGTAGCTTCACTCCTTTAACAGGATCATTAAAAAATTTAATTGTTGTAAAATACATATAACATAAAATTTAATATTGTAATAATGATTTGCTGATATTTTCCCCATTTCCTGAGTTAACCATTCACTTTGTTGTATTCTTCTAGGTACAGAAGTTTTTAATTTTAATGTAGTTTGTCTATTTTTACTTCTGTTGTATTATATTTGTAGATTGCCGTGGGAAATACTGACATCTTAGCAAATACGAACACTCCTATTTAACACTGTTTTGTTCCTGCCACCAGGTCATTAAATGAATTGGTCACTAAATGAGGAATTGTGTATGGAGTGCATAGTACAATATTCAGTACGAAGAAATGGTCAAAGGAAACTCCAACTTCATGAGTTTGCTTTTATTTGCATAACTCTTACATGCAGTACTGTAATGAATAACAATGTATATCTATAGTATTGTACAGTACAATCAGCAAAAATTGCAATATTTTGTAAATAAAATGTACTGTACAGAAAAAGACACTGAAGTTCTATAAACAAGATGTACAGAACTATATGGAAGAAAAAGCAGTTGTAAGTCTGAAAAACACTCCTTGGCCATAAGTCTGAATAGTCTTTAGGTAGGGCGTTAAGTGAGGAATGTCTGTATTGTGTTCTATGCTGTGCATGCGGTGTATCTTTCCATTTGCTTGTGTCTTTTTTAACGTCTCCAGCAGTACTTCATAGTCTTAATTATAAAAGTCTTTTGCCTCCTCAATTTAATTCCTAAGTATTTATTATAAATGAATTATTTAATTCCTTCTTGAATAGCTCATTATTAATGAATGGAAATGGAACTGCTTTTGTGTCCTGCGACTTTGCTGAGTTCACTAGTTTTAATGGTGCTCATGCAAGTGTGTAATCTTAAGGATATTCATCATAAGATAATAGTTTAGTTCCAAATAGTATGGCTACTTCCAATTTGGATAGCTTTCATTTCTTTTTTCTTGCCTCCTTGTTCTAGCTAGGACTTCTGCTACTCTGTAGCATTGAAGTGGTAAAAGCAGATGTGCTTGTCCTGTTCTGGATCATCAAGTAAAAGTCGCTGTCTGTTAACCTTTAATACGATGTTAGCTGTGGGCTTTTCACATAGGACCTTCGTGATGTTAAGGTAGTTTCCTTCTACTCCTAGTTTGTTGGATGTTCTTATCTTGGAATAATTTTGTCAGGTGCTTTTTTCTCCATCAATGGAAATGTTCATGTGTTTTTTTATTCATTTTGATACGGTGACATTTTACATTGACTTTTGGATTAACTAAGTCTTTCATTCCAAGACTAAATCCCATTTGGTCATGGTGTGAAGTCCTATTAACATACTGTTATATTCAGTTGGTCAGTATTTTATTGAAGATTTTTGCATCAGTATTCATTAGCATAGCAACATTGGTCTATACTTTTGTTTTATAGTTTCATACATTATCTGTCTGGCTTTCATATCAGAGAAACACTGGCCTCAAATAATGAATTTGGAGATGTTCTTTTCTCTTCAGTTTTTTGGGAGAGTTTATGAAGGCTTGTTATTACTTCTTTTTAAAATGTTTGGTGGAATTTCCCAGGATAGCCTACCTGGTCCTGAGTTTTCTTTGTTGAGAAGCTTATAATTACTGCTTCAATTTCTTACTAGTTTTTTTTTTTGTTGTTGTTGTTTTAATTTTTTAATTTTAAAAATAAAAAGAGGAAAATATTAACAGACAGATAACCTTTAACAAAATAGCAAAAGAGCAGTACAGACAATACAGAGTTACAAACAAAGTGGTAGGAAATTAACAATGCTTGTTGTATTGCATATTGATATCTTCAAAGTGGTTTCTCAGGAAAACAGATAGACATGCAATATTGATCAATCAAGGACTCATTGACAGTTTCTTTGAGCAAAGAAATAGAAGACAGTAGATCAACTATGTTAACTATTCTGTATATACATACATACAAAATTTCTCCTTCCTTCCCTTCCCTCTTTCCACATCCCAGTTGCCCTTTACCCTTCAGTGTTTTCCTTTCATTTTACAATGTCTATCATACCTCCAAGTTTAAATTAACTCTTTCAGGTTTTACACTAGTGAGACAATGTGGTGCTTGCACATAGAGGTCTGATTTATTTCACTTATGAGTGTGGTCTGTAGTTGTGACCATTTACCTATAAAAGCCTCAAGTTTATTTTTCTTTATAGTTGAGTAATATTTCATTATATAAAAGTACCACAATTTTCTTATCTAATCCTCGGTGGGTGGACGTTTGGGTTGCTTCCACAATTTAGCAATTACAAATTGGGCTGCTATGAACATAGGTGCACATATATCGCTGTGATATGATATTTTTAGATCTGCTGGGAAAATACCCAGCAGGGGAATAGCTGGATTGAATGGGACCTCTAGTCCTAGTTTTCTGAGGTATATATAATGACATCTCCACAGTGGTTTCACGAGTCTGCATTCCCACCAGCTGTGGAGAAGGGTTCCTATTTCTCCTCAGCCTCGCCAGCATTTGTTATTGGTTAATTTCTTAATGCTAGCCATACTTAATGGGGTAAGGTGGAATCTCAATGTTGGTTTACTTTGCATTTCTTGAGTGACTAATAATGTTGAACATTTTCTCATGTAT